AAATGTAAAAAAAGAAAAAGAAGAGGTAAAAAGAGAAAAAGATGATGGACATTGGACCACATAAAAAAAGACAAAAAATTATAATTGAGTTAAGATTTTTTAACAAATAAAATCTATTTAAATCTATTTTATTTTTTGTTTGAAATCGAGTCCAAATACTGTTATATGAATTTAAATTGAGTTTAAATTTTCATTTTAAGACATTATTTTTTTTAAAATACATTAACTTCAATTTTTAGAATTTAAATATAAATAAATTAAAATAGTATTTTTTATAAAAATATTTATTAATAAAAATATTAGCATTCAATATTTAAAATATTAAAATTAAAATTTTAAAAAATCATATATTTTTTATTTGAATATTTAAATTCAGTCGCTGAGACCGGAATTAACAAAAACGAAACCTTTTTTTTAACCCCACTCAGTAAAGGTCGAAGTAAAATAACCTTTTATGGCGTTAGTCATCTCTGTGGTCCCTGTGTTCAGCGAAAAGCTAAAAGACAAATTTCAGTACATTGTAATTGTCCCCAATTAGAACTATTTTTGGTCGTTGTTACTGATATCCAACTTATTATTAACGTACTTCACTTTACGCTTTTAAAAATGCTATAATATTATCATGTTACAATATTCACCTAGCGCTAATAATCTAACAGAAAATTAAAATCTGTCATTTTAAAATGGATTTTTTTATATAAAAAGTATCATTATGATTTCATTGTATGATTAATTTTTTTATTAAAAATTATGAAAATAAAAAATAAAATAAAAGTTACTAACTAAAGAAATTTAATTACAAGAAAGTATATATGCATTATAGAAGTAAAAAAAGTTACTCTAATTTAATTTTTTTAAGAAAATAAATATTAGGCGTGTCTCACCATATATATTATCGTCTTAGGACTTTCACTGGAATAAAGAAGGAAAACTAAGCTTATGTTTTGAATGGTTTGAATAGGGTTTAAGGGAAAAAAAAAACCCTTAATCTCTTATTTGTTAGATTACATGTAAAAAGTTTTATTTTTGTTTTGTTTTGTGATGATAATGTTGAGAAATTACGATTTAGTTTATTTTAACTTGATTCTACATTAGGGGAATAATAGTATTTGTGGACAATGATAGAAAATTGAGTGGAATAATAATAATAATATAATTGAGAAGTGATTAAATTCTAAAATACTTAATAGACTTAGATTTTTTATTTTATTTTTTGCAATTATAGAAAGGTTAACTAAATGAAAATATTAGTAAAAACTATAGAAATAAATTATCGTTTAAGTTAAGGAATGCAATAAAAGTATATAATAATAACAATGTTTTTATGCTGAAATAAAATGATTGAAAATTTGTATTAAAGAATTTAAAATTAATAAAATAACAATTTGAGATTTTTAAGGCTATAAATAATAAGATTAGAGCCTTCATACATGAAATTTTAAATTATTCTTATAAAAAAGGTTGGTAAGAAAGGACAAACTTAATAATTATATTTGATAGTTATATCAAATAATTAAAAAAAATATTAGAGAAAGATAAATAAAAATAAAATAAAATAAATCAATTTAATTCGATGTTGAAACTAAAAAATTGAATTAATTTTGTTAGTTAATGATAAAAGAAAATGAAAATTAGTTATAAACTATATTTAAATAGGCTATTAAATTAAGAATTAATTTGTGGTTAACATTTTAGAATTAAATTTTAATTATAAATACTTGAAAGAAAAATTTTGCTGTCCATAATAGTTATACTCAACTTGAAAAGAATGATTTTCAGTGAAAAATGCATATAATTTAGATTAAAAAACATTGTGGAGAGACAAATAACATTTCAAAAACTATCTATATAAAAGTATTCAAGTCAGTACATACACATAATGCCGAGACTTCATTAATCTAAGATTAATAATGTATCCGTCGTGTGTATAAAGTAATAAAAAAAAATAGTTTGTTGATGGAAATTTTTTCTTGAAGCATGTATGTAAATTGCCCTTATAATTGGAAAAAATTAGCAAAAGTTATAAGAATGTGATTAGCTGAAATTATAAGTTGACAAAGAGAACTAATAACTCAAGATATAAAAGAGTAATCTTGCAAAATTTATGCATGTATTGACATGTTTTAGAGAAAAAAAACTACACTTGATATGCGTTTCCTAAATACACATTTATCCTAATGATATCTTCAAACTTATCCTTATTGGTTGAGATTGGTTCATTTTCCAAGTCTTGTATAGGTCTTATTGATAATACAATACAAGTACTAGTTTGGGCTAAGATGGACCATTGGCTCCTGAATCCTGATCACTTTTTCTATTGGCAGATTGCTTTTTTTGTGAATCTGAATTGAAAATATTCTACTGGAATCCAGTAATATGTTAAAAAAATTTGGTTAAGGTACAGCTAAATATAAAGAAAACTTTTCATGCATTTCATAGCTAAGAAACAATTAAAATATTGTATGTGTTTAATTATTATTGAATTAGTTTACTTATTACCTTAAATCTATTTATTGTGTTGTTCATATATAAATTCAATTGTATGGTCACATCTTTTTATTCGTTTCATCTATTATTTATTTATTTCAAATGTATTGAGCGAAGATGGAAATAAAAGGTATTTATTTTTTTACTTGTACAAAAAATTACGTTAGAATTAATGGGTTTTTGACTTTAAGTAAGTTTGGAGGAGATTTTTAGAACAAAAAAAAAAGAAATAAGAATATATTTTTAATTTTAAAATTAAAAAATTATATATCATTTATTATGACAAATATATTATTATCACATTAAATTTATATTAATATATTAATTTATATTTTTAATTTAAAAAAATATTTATTTTAAATATATTTATTTAAAATATAAATTTTGACTTTTTTTAAATTTCCATTCGCAAACAATTCCTCACATAATAAAATAATTAACTCAATAAGTTTAAGGTGTAAAAAGAAGTAGGGTTTATATAAAATAGTGAAGAGATAAATAGGTAAAAAATATAGATTCTAGCCCTATAAAAGCTATATATGATTAATCTATTTATATATTAAAGTCTAAAAATATATCTAAGTGTTGTTTTTAAATAAAATCAAAACCAGAAAACGACGTAACCCCACACTAATTAAGTTCACACATGGAATTCCAAACTTGGCGCGTCCACCGTGGCAGAGCTCGCCGTTGACGTTTGCTTTGAGGCTGATTTGATGGGTTTTGGTGTGAAGTTCTGCCCAGTGACAGTAACATATTATGCCATTATTGTAGTCCCCGACAATCTCATTGCGGTGGCGATAGCATTCTAGAATGAAGATATCGTACTCCTTTTTCTTCTTTTTACTTACAATTATAATTATTATATTTTTAATTATAAAAATAAAAAATGCTTTTATATGTATTCATTATCATTTTTTATGTGCTTATTTATAATAAAACTTATATTAGTAAAAAATTTATATTATATATTTATTTAGGAGTAAAATTTTTTCATACTAATGTAAATTTAAAAAATTCTTATACTAAATTTAAACATTCACTTCAATTATATTTAACCTATTATAATTTATTATTTTATTAATTAAATAAAAAGTATTAGTTTGAGAAGATTTTTTTATTTATTTAATATATGAGTCACTGGTTTAAATATTTATTATTATAAATATTTTTAAATTATAATATAAATTTATAACATATATTTCAATTAATTATTTATTTTATAAAAATTTAAAAATTGGTTTTTTTGTGAAAAATAAAAAATAGCTTAAACACTAAATTTCACATTGAATATAATATTATATATATTATTCATCTTAACTATAATATTGTTATTTGAATTTTAATTTTTTAATAATTTTTTTATCAAATTTAATTTTAGTCAGAAAATATTATTTATATAATAAATTTTTAATATTTTTAATGAATTAAAATAATTAGATAATATGATGAAAAGGAATAAAACATCTTATTAAAATCATTTCATAACCATCACAAGGAATGAGAGAAACATTATTAGCCCATAATCCTGTCGAGTACACAGGAAAAAAAATATGTTAAAAAAATATTAAAAGTATGTTTATTTTTATTTTTAAAAACAGCTTTTATTTTTAAAAAAATATTATAAATTTGTATTATATATTTTAAAAAAATAAAAAATTATTTTTGAAATAGAAATTAAACATATTTTAATTATTACTTTTAAAAATAGACTTTTTTATATGATATTTTAAAATAATATATATCAAATATAAAATTATAAAAATATGAAAATTTAAAACCTATTATTGATAATTTAAAAATAATAATAATTCAAAAATTACTATTTAAATAAATTTAATTAATTAACTAAAATTTTAAGATCAAGGAGGACAATTTTTAAGATTAACTTATCTTATTCAAAAATTGTTAATAATAAATTTCGAGTCTTACATTTTTATATTTTTTAAAAAATTATATTTTAGTATATAATATTAAATTTTTATATTAAATTTATTTTTTAAAAATACTAATAAAAAGTTTAAAAATATTTTTGTTATAAAAAAAATACTGTATTCCTTTTAATATTCTTTGTATTACTTATTTTTTAAATTTTTTAATATGTTATTTTTAATTTTTAATTTCTTTAATTTAATAATTCAAAATTGTAATGTCAAGATAAAAAGATTTTAATTATTAAAAATAATTTATTTAACGTGTGTTAACGCATATTAAGAATTTATGTATTTTTTATTAGAAGTATCTAAAATTTAAAATTTTATATATTTATTTTTTATTATTAAAATTTTCATTTATATGTATCAATTTTTTTAATTTATTAATAAATTTAATTTTAAATAAAAATAAAAATAAAATTAAAAAATACTGTAATTAATTTTAAAAATTTTAATATATTTTCATATACTATTTAAAAATAATTTTTAAAATAAATTTGATACCGACATGCCATTATGGGAGCTCCCTGTCCATAAATAGATCTAAGTTCTGCCTCACAACTTCATTGAAATCCATCTGAAAAACAAACCCATCATCACCTTTCTAGATCATGGCGAAGGACACCATAGTTCTATACCCTACATTGGGTAGGGGACACCTAATTTCCATGGTAGAACTAGGCAAGCTCATTCTAACCCACCACCCTTCCCTTTCCATCACAATCCTCATCCTCACTCCACCGCCAACCATCGCCCCAACCTTTGCCTATGACTCCATCACCCAATACATCAGCACCATCTCCACCACCACACCCTCCATCACCTTCCACCACATCTCCTCCACACCATTGCCCACCTCCACCCTCTCTATCCCCTCTCACCTTCTCCCCCTCCAACTCTCCCTCGACAACACCCAAAACGTTTCCCAAACCCTCCATTCCCTCTCCAAAACCACCAACATCAAAGCCATTGTCATGGATTTCATGAACTTCAACTCCCCACAAACACTTACCCAAAACCTCAACATACCAACTTATTTCTACTACACTTCTGGAGCCTCCACTCTCGCCATCTTGCTTCATTTCCCAACCATTCACCAAAACGCCACAAAACCCTTGAAAGACCTTCCCATGCAACTTCAAATCCCTGGCTTGCCCACACTTTCCACCAATGATCTTCCAAAAGAAGCCAAAGATCCTTCGGATCATAGTTACCAGGTTTTCCTTGAAATATCAAAAACCATGAGGGGTAGTGTTGGGATTATCGTGAACACCTTCGAAGCCATTGAAGAAGGACCTGTAAGAGCCTCAAGTGAAGATGGAACCACCCCACCTTTGTTTTGTATAGGACCCGTGATTTCTTCTCCTTATGGAGAGGAAGACAAAGGGTGTTTGAGTTGGCTTGACTCGCAACCGAGTCAAAGCGTTGTGTTGTTGAGTTTTGGAAGCATGCGAGGGTTTTCGAAGACCCAGTTGAGGGAAATAGCTATTGGGTTGGAGATGAGCGAGCAAAGATTCCTGTGGGTTGTAAGGAGCGAGTTAGATGGGGTTGACTCGGTTGAACCGAGTTTAGACGAGTTGTTGCCGAAAGGGTTTTTGGAGAGGACAAAGGAGAAGGGAATGGTGGTGAGGAACTGGGCCCCACAAGCTGAGATTCTGAGTCATGACTCGGTGGGTGGGTTCGTGACTCACTGTGGGTGGAACTCGGTGTTGGAAGCGGTTTGTGAAGGAGTGCCAATGGTGGCGTGGCCCCTCTACGCTGAGCAAAACATGAATAGGGTGATTTTGGTGCAAGAAATGAAAGTGGCTTTGGCGGTGAACGAGTCAAAGAATGGGTTAGTGAGTGCGACTGAGTTGGGGGACCGAGTCAAGGAACTCATGGAATCGGACACGGGGAAAGAAATTAGACACAGGATTTTCAAAATGAAAATAAGTGCTGTTGAAGCAAGATCTGAAGGTGGATCTTCACGTGTTGCTTTGGATACGTTGGTTCAGCTGTGGAAACAGAATTAAGCCAATTACTATTTTTTCTTTCTGTCGTAAATGTAAATTAAATTATACTAATGAATAAATTACGCTCTCATGTTTCTAATATATAAAATAAGTATTTAACTAAAAAAATTATACTTGAACCGTGAGCATTGAGCAAGCCTTTTTTATGTTTTTATTATTTTTAAAAAAAAAATTTATAGGCAAAACAAATCTTATTAAAAAAAGTTCAAGGGAACTCAAAATCCATATACACAAAAAATTATTTACTCAGAGAAATAAAAAGTAAAAATATATTTATACAAAATTAAGACAGATGCAATTTCGTGGGTTTAAACACAAATTAGCTAACATAATAGCTTCTCCTTTACTAACAAGTGATAATCATTTCTAGGATCTCAGAATAATAGAATATAGGACTTTCCTCTCATCCAAAACACTATTAGAAAATATAATTCTATTTCTATGCAACCACAAAGACCACACTGTACTTACCCAAATAATTAATAAGCATATTCTTTCTCTTTTACTACAGTCAACATCAACCCAAGAAAGCAAGTGAGTCGATAAATCTGAAGGCAGAACCAGTGAGAATCCAAGCCAACGCGCAGTAAAGTACCAGATTTGAGATGAAACTGAGCACGTTAAAAATAAATGAGTTGGAAGTTCCTCTAAATTATGACAGAAGCAACAAGTTATATCATCAATTTGAACACCACGATCAATCAGTAAACCTTTACAAGGAAGTGCATTCAACAACAATTGCCAAGAAAAAACCAGACACTTAAAAGGGACCTTTCCTCTCCATAGCCTTTGCAAGGCATCTGCCGTACACTGATCTACACTATTAGGACCACCAAAAAGTTCAAATAGCCATGAATACGCAGATTGCACTGAATAACAACCTGAAGAATCTGCCCTCCATACCCATTTATCTTCTTGTAGTAACTTAATAGAAACTCCATCCACAAACTCCAACAAAAGATTAAAGATCGAGATCTCATGTTGAAAGAGTCCTCTTCGCCAACTAACATTCCAAACCCATCTAGTGCCATCATGAAAATCATTCTCCAATACACATGATTCAGCATTTCTCGCCACTGCAAATAATCGCGGAAATGCTTCACACAATCGCACCCCTCCTACCCACTTATCTCTCCAAAAAAGAGTATGAAAACTTGCACCCACACTTCTATCAAACTTCTCATCCAGCCATAAATTCCCTTGATGAATAACCTCCAGCAAATCACGCCACCACAAAGAACATTTGTTGTGAACTGATGAACGCGGAAGAGAAGAAGCTAATCTTTCATATCTAGATTCCAACACCCGCACCCACAATGAACTAGAACAGTTAATACCTCGCCATAACCATTTACCAAGAAGGGCCCAATTAAACCACTGCACATTCCTAATGCCAAAGCCACCATTCTTCTGCGGTCTACATACAGTTTTCCATTTCACCCAGGGGATTTTAGATCCATCCTTAACACCCTTCCATAAAAAATTCCGTTGGATAGTGACAATTTCCTTTATTACCGACTTCGGCAATGACATAGAATTAAGAACGACATTAATCAAAGTCACCCTACCTCCAATCGATAAATACTTATGCTTCCATGATGCTAACTGTTTTTTAAGAGCCTCTAACACACTCTTCCATGCACTAGGCTTTCTCGGGTTAATACCTAATTGTAACCTGAGATACTTTAATTTTAATTTTTTAAAACATTTTTTTATTTAAGCTAATTTATGTCACGTTATCACAAATATTACACTCAAAACCATAGAGGCCAGTGCGAAGAATGTGAAAGTCACTATATTAGTTTTGCGACGAGACATGTTGACATGTTGAACCATTATGTTACACACCAGAAATACTCTTTTATTTGGAGTAATATGAGAGAAAATTGGTTTACGTAAGTAAAATTAATAATTTTTGTATTATATTAGTTAATTTTGACTAGTTAAAACATTTAATAAATTTGTATTATATTAGTTAATTTTTTTAGTTAAATTAGTTTTGACTAGTTAAAAAATTTAATCAATTTAAATTATCTTAGTTTCTTTTGTTAATTAAATTAATTTAAACTAATTAATATATTTGATAAATGTGTATTATATGAGTTTATTTTTTTAGTTAAATTAATTTCTAATAATAACAGTAGTGACGAATTTGATAATTATAATAATTATACTTATACATAAAAGCTACTAATCATTAATTAAAATATAAGAACATATAATGGAGTTTACAACAAATTTTATTAATCTTATTTATCACCGTAGACTTGCTCATTAAAGATAAAGTAGGAAGTCAAATTTCTTTTTCCTTTTAGCACTTGGGATCCTAAAATATTTTATCTATTTTTTTTATTGATGATATTATTTTAGTGACAAAAGTTTTAACAAACTAAAATTATTAAAACGGTTTTGTCTGAATTTTGTGTACCTTTTAGTCAAATAATTAATAAAAAGAAATTTTCTTTAGTTTTTTTTTTAAATATTAATAGTCTATTTAGTTTTGATATGTATTATGGGATTCTTTTTAAGTATAGAAAACTAGTCAAACATATTTTTCTTTCATTGTTGCTAGGATTAGAAAGAAATTATTTTTTTCAAAAATGAATTCGCTATAATTAGTTGGTAGAGTTACTTTTGTTCAATCATACTTTATGAATATTCATTTATATGTGATACAAACTCAGATAATCTCAATCTCTATATGTAATAAAATTAATAATATATATATATATAAACAATTTATTTAGAGATATATTGGTTCTAAAAAATACTACCTTATAGGCTGGCAAAAGATTTATAAACATAGATCACACGGGAGTTTAAGAATCTTTATAGTCTTAACTTTGCTTATATGATGAAGTTAGATTGGAGGGTAATTATCTCATAATGATTTATGGGGCTAGTTCTTTGTATTAAATATAAGTTTAAACCTAAGCAATTTCCCTTGGCGGTAAACATAAACAAAATATCTCATCTTTAGGAAGCTTTGGTCTCAATTTGACCTAAATTTTCTCAAGGTCTAAGATGGTTGAATGGGGATGGTTTTATTGTTAAGTTTTGGGAAAATTTCTGAGTTTTTAAATTTAATAATTTGACTAATTTAGCTTGGGACAAAATATATGGTTTGTTGCCTAGACATATTTATTAATGCTATTGTTAATATTCTTCCTCCCTGTGGCTCAAGTGAACAAGATTTTATTTTTTGGATCTTAACCAATAATGGACTTTTCTTTATTAAATATGCATATCAATTAATATCGTCTCCTATTATTTTACAATCCCTTATCAATAATATTTTTCTATGGTTTGGAAATGAGATGACCCTCCTAAAATTACATTGTTTGTTTGAAAATATTTTCATGGTAAGCTTTTAATCAATGATGAGAGGCATAAGAGAAGTATAACTGATTCTAATATTTGTACTAGATGTGGTGATACTCCAGAAACTGTCATTCATGTTTTAAGAGACTCCTTTTATGCCAAAACTTTGTGAGATTATTTTATTTTGCTTAATCATTGATGAATCCACATTTTATTAGATTTTTACTTATTTTTTTAGTGTTCTTTAATAGAAAAAATAGACTTAGGAAGTGTAAATAACATAAAAACATCATTTTAGTCAAATATCATAGATTTCTTAATTTTTGGTTAATTTATATTGATTTACATAGATATAATTTGCAATATTGATCATTTGAATAATTGTGCAAGAATTTCTAGGCTTATTCCATAGATTTCTAACCTTTGAGAAAATTTGAGTTGAAAGTGACCACTTTGGATTTCATAGTGGACACTACAATAAGCTAGATCCAGAGGGCAGACCAAAGTGATCACTTTGGTTTCATAGTAGACACTATAGAGACTCCAGTTTGAAGAGGCGCTGCGCGTAGCCACTTTGGTTTGATAGTGGACACTTAAGAGAGGGCTGATAGGATAGGATGTTGCACGTAACTACTATGACTTTCATAGTAGCTACTATGAGCGACGACCACTTCACTATAAATGGATTTTTGAAAATTAGGGTTGGAGAGATTTTTACACTTTTAGATTTTTGCCATTTTGAGAACTTTTAGAGAGCATAAGGTGGCCTCGAGTGACAGCTAAGGGTCCAACCTAGGGTTTGATTTCCATTTTCTTCTTACTTCTTTTCGATTTTTCATCTTAATATTATTGATTTTTTTTTTAATTTTACTTTGTAATGGTGAGACCTATCCTCATGGAGGGCTAAACTTTTGTAATTCCTAGTGAGTTCACTTAGATTCTTGAATTCATGAGTTTTGAATGTTAATATAATTCATTTTCTTTCATGAATTTCTTCTTCCTAATCTCTTAAATTGAATTAATGGTTGAATAAGAGAGACATTGCTTAATTAACTCTAATTCATTTTAATGAGATTCCAAACTTGAATTGCTTAATTTTGAGTTTATTTCTAAGGTTGCGTAATTTTGGGATGAGAGATTAAAGTCCATTGAATTGCTTAATTCGTATGGAAACATAAGGTTGATTTTCGCTTGTTAAATCAACCTAATTCTAGGAGGCGGGGAAGAGTATTAAATCTTGAGAGAAATAGGGATAGAGTTTATATGAATGAAATAGGGGTTACTATATTTTATTGATTAAACTTTATAATTTTTTTCTTACTCTTTATATTGAACTTGAAATCACAAAATCCCTTTTTTTACTTGCTTTCTGAATACACTGTACACCATATATTTGATATTTGATTACTCATCTAATGATTCATGGAAGACGATCTAGGTTAGCACCCTAGTATTACATTAATTTCTGTTTATATTTTGATGAGGATTCGCGATAAATCTTTTGTTCATCAATCATTGGGTTCAATTTTTTAGCTCTAGTTTTATGAATTGGTTGTCCTATAATTTTAATAATAATTCTCTTTTCAATCATATTAGTTGGAATAAATTGATTGGCATTTATGAAGAGAGAAATTGTTTTATATTTCAACAATCATTTATTCAAGCCATTGATCTTGCTCAAGAAAATTTTCTTGATGCTAATTATTTTGGTTTTTGTTCCAAGAATCACTACACTTGGCTCC